TAGAGAGGTATAGGGTGTCTGCTTCACCTCTCTTCTTCCACTTAATTAGTAGGCTTTATTGAATACTTGGCACATGCATACGCCTTTTATTCTGAATCCATAGTGAAAGTTTGGTTTTTTACTTTAAATATTGAAAAGCAACTTTGTAGAAAAAGATTCTAAACATTTAGATTCCCTTTTCAGTTTTTTACTTGTTAAATAAAATAAATCATTTTAAATCTCTGTAGGGAGAGTTCTCTAGCATGAACTACTTTGATTTGTTTCTGTGTTTTCCAGAACAAGGGAAAGAAAATCAAAATCAGTGTGAATTCCTGAATTAGGTTTTTTTTCTTTTCTTGGCTTATAAATAATTGTATCAGAATCTTCTTTTCTTTCTCTTTCCTTCTAGCTAAATGAGTGTGCTTCACTAGAATGGTAAAGCCATCCTCTCAGGCAGCTCCTCTGCTGTATGTGGGATAATTCGTGTTTATTTGGTGATAGTATTAACACATTTGAGGGGATAATGTGTCTAAATAAAAGTAAATGGCATTTTTATAAGGGCAAAGAGTTCTTGGCAGGCAATTCTGAAGGTTTACTTGCCCATGATTTTCAAGTAGATCTCAGAAATTTGACTTGGATTTAGTTATCTTTACCAGTTTTTGGGGAGGAGAGAACACAGTTTGCCTTTGATTTCTGACAAGGCAGAATCAATTTTAGGCTCATTAGAAAATAACAAATGTTAGAAAAGAAAAACAACCTTAACGTTATTTGAAATACTTTATCTCTGCACTATATAGATTGTAAAATATTTTATATGGAAATTTTTACAGCACAACCTGTTAAATGACTGTTATTTATAAACAGCTCACTGTATTGTTCTAATCCATGTTTTCTTTCACCTTCCTTCATCATAATGTCGGTACGACTTTGAAATGTGTAGGCCAAAGGGTTCTAGGACCCCTAGTTCAGAAGTCGTAGTATAGAGAGAGAACTCTTCAGACAACTCTCTCAAGGCAAGGTGGCAGAATACTTTTCAGATAGGACATCATATTTATTTTTCTATATTTACTTTTGTGAAATCCTCTGTATTACATAAGAAATACTTGCTTAGATTGTAAACTCTTTTTTTGGTATTAAGTATTCTAGTAACTATAAGGAGTCTAGGTACTAAATAAGTATCAAATCAAACAATCCAGTCTTAACCCCTACCACCCCATAACTATTTATCAGAAGAATTGCTTTTTTTTTCCCAGAGGGCCTGGAGCACTATTTATTCTGTGGTTTGCAGAAAAAAAGGGGTCTTAATGAAATTTTTACTTAGTACACTGAAAACATACTTAAAACTTGATGCAGAGTATTCCCATACTATTTTTCTTGAAACTCTATTGTAAATAAATTTTAACTCAGAAATTATGAAAATACTTATAAAACTATCTCTGTTTAGGTGTAGTAAATTATTTTGATCGATAGCTTGGAGGCATTATTAAGTTTGAATTCATGTATTACAAGCCAAAATTCACAAAAGGACTATAATTAACCCTTCACTGTTATAAAGCAGTCATTTGTGGAGAAGGCTCAGAAAAAAAGCTCTCTTTTCAGGAATGAGATCTGTTTACCTGTAATGTTATGGCTAACCTAAAAGAACAAAGTGATGCAGTTTTTCCAACTTAATTTTGCTCTTTTCATTATCTTTTTGTGTGTGTGTGATCTTTGAAAGTTTTAATGACTGTACATTCATTGTATGGTTGGACCACAACTTATATAACATTTCCCTGGTTTTTAATATTTCAGTTGCTTACATCTTTTATGTTCTTCATTTGATAAATGTATTTGTATATAAATATTTGTCAGCTCATCTCAGTAGAATTATTGTCTCCTAGGATCACTGTCCTGAAGGTAATGAACTGCTTTGAGGTTCTAGTTACATTTTCCTAACTTGCTTTCTGGAAAAGTTATACTGTTTTACACTTTACTAATTAGTATTTGTATACTTACAGACCATCACATTTTCACTGTCTATCAGTAAATGTGGATATACATTATTTTTTGTATAGCTGCACAGAAACCCATTGCATGTTGAACATACTAATATTTAGGTTTGGTTATTTGTTTTCCCATTTTAAAAACAGTATTTACTTATCTCTGTCTCCAGTGTCCCTGTTATATATAGTTGAAGCTATCTTGTTTTGCCTCAATTCTGGTGATCCTTTAATTCTTTCTTCTCTTTCTTGTCCACCTGCATACATATCTATTACTACATAACAGATTACTCCAAAATTTAGCAGCTTAAATTCATTGGTACTTACTAATTCACCAGATTCTAAGTTAGAAACCTGTGAGCTAATTGACTGAGTCATTCAGTCTGAGGGTTTCTTCATGAGTCTGCAATGAAGATATCAGGCTGCAGCCATGTCAGCTTGACAGGACTGGAGGATTCCCTTTCCAGAATGTTAACTCATGGATTGTTGACAGAAAGTCTGAGTTTCTTGCTGCATGGGCTTTTCCAGCAGGCTGCTCAAAGCTTTACTTAACATTTTTTGGTTGCAAGAAGAAAACTTATCATAAATACGGGAATTTAATAGAAGGCCGTTATTGATTCATTGAATGTAAACTAAATCTGTAGCACTTTAGTTTATACATGCTAGTTTAGTCAACTGAACATAGGTAAAATCGACCCCTCCTTGATCAGATAACCTGCTCATGGCCCGGTTGCTTGTGGTGAGGAGTATGGAGTCACCATAGTAAATGATTACTATGTGATTACTGGAGGTTCTTGGAGGGTTGCGTGGGGTATAAATTCTTGGAAAGGGGACTGGTAGTGTGAACTGTGTGGCCATCCTCAAAGATGTCTATTGCATTCTTGCTTTATTACCTTATACATGTAGTAATCAGAAAACTGTAAGTTAGGCTTTGTGAAGTTTATAACTTCCTTTTTAAATGGTTAAAGTAAATAGAGAGTAAGTCTGCCTTCTTTTGGATTTTATATGTACTTTCATGTTTGAGATGGCAGACCTAGGATATAACAGTGCTTGACACACAGACCCTTTGTGGTTGAATTAGGGAGTACTTGCGAGGAAGTAGAGGTCTGATGTTTGATTTTGCACATCATACTTAAAAAGTGAAACTTCTCACCTCACAATGACCTGGCCATTATGATTATCTTTTATGTTTTTCTTTTTATTGGACTTATTATTAGGTCAGAGATGAAGGTTTTTTCTCTTGTGAGTCACTGATCCACACAAAAAAATTTTCTTGAGGTCCTTTTGAGGTCATTTTTGGGGTTGGTAGCTAAGCATTGTCTTGAATACTTAGACTTTTAAACCAGATATTTTATGGAAACTTCTTAGAAAGATAAAATGTAATACAGAGCTTAATGAGTAGAGAGTGCTAGATAGTCTCTAATCTATAGCTGGATTCTGACTTCTTACCACCTCACAAGTAGAACCCTAGTCAATACTTCAGCATTTCCTCTAGAACTATAGTAGTTTCCTAAATGATCTGCATTTGCTTTTACCCCTCGATAGTGGGTTCTTCAAAGAATATGACTAATGTCGGATCACTCACTAATTACTGAAAATTCCTTTTTAAAAAGAAAAAAGATTTATTCATTCATGAGCTTGGGTATAGGTTAGAGGTGTAGGGGCAGGGGGGTGAAAGGATTAATGAGACAGAGTGGGGAGCAGAACAGGTGGATACACTGAAATACATTGCTGAGGGGAGCAGCAGGTGAGACAGGAGAGGTCTGCTGCACTGTGTGGGTCACATCCAGGGCTGGGGATTAAACTCTTGCTGCTGAAAGTTTCATAGTGCTGAGACTTAATCGCTTGTGCCTCCAGGGATGCAGGCTGTCTACTGAAAATTCTTAAGTGGGTTCCCATTCTTTTTTTTTTTTTTTCTTAACCATTTTCTTTATATGTCTATTTCCATTATTCAGTTTACAGCAATGTTTATCCCCTCCCCCCACCCATCATCACCATAGCCCCCACACTCCCCCCTCCTTCTGATCCCTCTCTGTTCCCCACCCCTGTGGGATATTTCTGATTTACAACTGTCAGTTTGTTTTTGTTTTGGTGTGTTTTGTATTGTAATAACAATACATTTCCCCCCTTATGTCTTATTTGGTTCTCTTAAATTCTTCCTATAAGTGAAACTATTCAATATTTTTCTTTTTCCTGACTTATTTCACTGCGTATAATCCCTTCCAACTCCATCCATGTTGCTACATATGGCATGAGTTTATCTTTTTTTATTGCTGAGTTGTATTGCATTGTGTGTGTGTGTGCATACATACATATACACACAACCCACACACATCTACTTGATCAATCATCTAGTTTTGGGAAGTGTATTCCCATTTTATAATAAATGGTAAGGTTTTTCCGTGCTCTAGAAAGTCTTCCATGATGTAGCCCTGCGTCTCTCACCTTAACTGTCGTGACGGACGCATCCTTCATTTTTCTGTAGCCACAGTGATCTCCACATGTGCTTACTTTACAGCTTTTGTACCTAGAGTTTTCCATGCCTGAACATTCGGTTCTGAGGTTTCTTATTTCTGGACTCTTGAAATATTGCTTATCTATAGGCTTTCCCTAACTGACTCTGAAAGAAAAGCACCTTTTATCACTCTTAAATACTTTCCTCCTGTTTTTTCTTCATAGCATTTATAATTTGCTAGTATATGTTTCTATGTCTTTGCCTTCTAGACTCCCAAGCTTCATGAGAGCAAGGGTTTTGTCTTTTATTCATTGCTGTATTGTCATTGGTTGGCATAATGAGTGCTCAGAATATATTTGTTGACTGCAGGAGTAAATAAATTTTTTTGTCCCCTGGGTGGTAACTGGGGGAAATACCTGGCATTGGTAGATGAGAACTACTGTTGAATAGAGAAGTTAGGAAGAAAAAAAATCATTAGTATCCCACAGTTCTTACAAACCAGTTCTTGTAAGGATGGTGGAAATAGTTGCTTGATGTTATTTAGAATCAATGTTTTATAAAACAATTTTGGTTATATTCCATGGAAGATGAAGAAGATGACTTCATTTGTAAGAAGGCAGTCTCTAAAGCAAAAGAGAATGGAGGATCTACAAATAGTTATCTTGGAGTATCAAATGTGAAAAAGAATGAAGAAAACAGTAAGACCAAGAATAAGCCTTTATCACCAATAAAACTTACCCCTACATCAGTGCTTGATTATTTTGGAACTGGAAGTGTCCAAAGATCAGATAAGAAAATGGTGGCAAGCAAAAGAAAAGAGGTAAGTTTTCTGCATGCAGGCCGGAATGTTTAGAATTTATATAGTCACTGTTACAAATAAGAGGTGGAATCTGGGTGTTAGAACTAAGTAAAACTTTGTTGATAAAAATATTTGTCCTGTGATTATGGGTAAAATGTAGAGGATGAGGAAGTTAGGATATTGCACATTTAATTTTTTATATTTATAAGTTGGAAAAGATCATTTACATCATAAGGACAAGTTTTAATTCTTAGAAGTAAATACTAAGAGCGCAAAATCATTTTACTATTCCTCTCAGACAAATATTGGACAACAAATTTGTTTCCAAATAAGGTTATAAATACATGTAAGTATTACCTTATTACTTATGTTATACTTTTGATCATCTCTGCTTTAGTTGAGACTGATTCATCTTTTTCTCAACATTTAGAGAAAAATATGTATGGTGAAAATAGTTCCATGATTTAAAGTTTGGCAAATAGTGTTTGTTGACTTTATTAATACCTTTATAGGACAATATAAACATGCCCACATACTGGTTTGCCACTGTTTTTGGACTACTTTTCAAGCCAAGACATTAGTCTACAGTTTTTTTTTTTAAAGATTTATTTATGCATATGGAACTGGGGTACAGGCCAGAGGTGCAGGGGTTCACCAAAGACAGCAGAACGATTCACTAGAGACACAGAGTGGAGAACAGAATAGGCAGATCGACAAAGTACGCTGCTGAGGGGAGCAGCAGGTGAGACAGGAGAGGTGTGCTGTGCTATGTGGATCATCTCTGGGGCTGGGGATTGAACTCGAATTGAAGTGGCTGTGGCTTGCTTGCAGTACTATGCTTTAACCTGCTGTGCCACCAGGGAGGGCCCAGTTTTTGGTTTTCTTTTCTTTTTTTTTTGAAGTCACTTTTATTTATTTATTATTATTAATTTTTTATAATAGTTTATTTTAACATCATTTTGTGCCTTTTCCCCATCTCAGTTGTAATCTCCGTTGGGCTTCCCACCACCAATTCACCCATGTGTCATCACCATAGAGTTTTTGGGTTTTTTTAAAGTGCTTTTCTTGAACATTTCAGTAGAATTAAATGAGAACCATCTGTCGATAGGATATGTACTCATTAGGGAATGGAATATGAGCAGGGAGAATCTAGAACATGATTTTCTGGTTGGTATGCAATGAGATTATTCTGTTATTCTTTTCTCTCATTGTTGTATTGTATCAGCTACAATCAAGAAAAAGCATATTATTTTTAATGTTTATGCCACTCTTGATTTTCTTTGAAATATAGCCTTCACAAAATGCAGATGATTCCAGATTAAATGATGAAGCCATTGCCAAGCAATTGCAACTTGATGAAGATGCAGAGGTATCAGCACTTTCTTTAGATGTCTTTAACAACTTGATATTGTGACTTAACCTTATCATCTGCCCAGGCAAAAATCAAGATTGTTCTAGGCTAATTTTTACTGAGGTTCAGTTGTTAAGAGTTATATGGAAAGTAAGTTGGAATCTTATATACATGGAAACCTAGATTTGTATAATAACAGGGATAATTACTTAAAGATTTATTGTTAGACTTTCATTGAAAGCCTCCTTTGGAACTTAAGATAATGTAATTTGATCATACTGCTTTTTTCACTGTGCAGTCTCATCTATTCCGGAATAGATGAGACTGCACAGTGAAAAAAGCAGTATGATCAAATTCATTCAACATCTATTTAATTGAGCACTTACTGAGTATGCGGCACAGTTTAAGGTCTTAAGGATACTGCAGTTTAAATAAAGTAATTTTAAGTGCTGTGAAGAAAAGTAAAGGACTAGTTTTTGAATGCTCAGTGTGGTTATTAGTGTTCTATTTTAAATAAGGTTATGGCCCCTCGAGGAAGTAACATTAGGGTACAAAGCAAAGTGATCTTGGCAAGCTATGGTGCTCTAGACAGAGAACATCAAGTGGAGGCATCTTTAGGTACAAGTATTTGAGTTTGATGAATTTGCAGAAACAGCCAACAGCAAATCCTGTTAAGTCACAGTAGGTTTTTAGTGCTTACCCTAAATTGGACTTTAGGTGGTAAGGGATTTGGGTTTTGACTTGCTGAGATGGGGAGCCATTGGGTTGTTGAGAGGAAGCCATAGTGGGGAAACAGTAAAAGCACATCAGTTTGATACTTTTACGGTAGGATATGTGAAAAAGATGTTAGCTTACACCAGAATTGCGGTGGAGAAGTAGCGAAAAGGGTCTTAATCTGTCTGTGCTTTGAAGTTGCCATTTTCAAATTGTTGCTGATAGACTGGATATGAAGTGTGAGGGGAAAAAAGATGAACACTTTGGCCTGAGCAACTGGGCACCAGTGTTGATATCATTTATTGATATTGGAACACTGGTCAGGGCCATCAAGAATTCTGATTTAGACATTGTAAGTTTGAGATACTAAATAGACTTCCAGTTGGAGATGAAGAGTGGGTGGCTGGATAGAGGAATCGAGCTTTAGAAAGAAGGCTAAATTGAAGTTGTATCGGTATGTTTGGGAATCATAACATTGAATGAACTTAAAACAGTGTTAGTGCTCGAGATCATGGAGGGAGGAAAGAAAAAAAAAAAAACGTGAGGACTAAGCTCCTGTTAATGTTTAGAGGTTAGGAAGAAGGGGCTTATCCAGCAAAGAAGACTTTTTAAGAAAGAGTCAGCAGTGAAGTAGGGCAATCAATAAATCTTGTAATTTCATGGAAACTAAATTCAAGAAGAAAATACTTCAAGGAGGAGTGTTGTTGAGATCATGGCATCTGCTGTTTGAACCCCCTTTCTGGTTATTAACCTCAAGTTTCTCATATTCTTTAAGTATAGCTGAAACCCTCATATGTACCCTGTGGCACCCCATCATAGTGGCTATTTGTCTTCCCATGTGTAGGCTCTAAACTTCACTCATCAGGGCTGTTCAGGTCTCCCTCAACTATTGTGACATCAGTGCTCACTTTAGTAGCTGTCTTAGAACGGTCTTTTGATAGATATTGTTGTGCGAGAACAATAGCCCAGTCTTCTGGGCCGAGAAATACGTCTTATTCACAATTTATTAACTTTGCAGTTTATAACTTGTGTTTTCAAAATCGTTTTCTCTCTTACTACATTGACATTACATTACATAAGCTCTAAATGGGTATTCATATGACTCAGAGTAGCACAAATGACCTAGATAAAACTGTGAAGTAATTTTTAGGAGCATGATTTCTCTACCTCATAGTACCGATACTGGAGCCTTAATCCTACCCCAACCAGGTAAGGTTTTTTTATATCAAAAATCTCCTGTTTCCTTATTTCTATCATTCTTTCAAATCTTGTCCAATAAGTTATTAGTCTGATGAAGGACTTTTAGGTATTAATAATTGATGTGTAGTTATCCCTGTAAAAGTTTCTTTTCCCTGTCTTCCCCCCTTCGTTCCCTCTTTATTCATTTTATTAAATGTGTGTACAGTATCTAAGACAAGTCATTATGTTAAACATTTTATAAAAATATAGGACTTTTGATCATGCAATGCCATAATTACCAATAATGGATTTCTAATGGAAATTTCACTTTTCTTTGTGTCCTGTGACATCTGGAATCTTTTTTATCAGAAGCATAGTACATAGTATGAAATTTGGAAAAGTGGTGGAGTTTGGCTAGGAATAATTGCAAGTGACAGTGAGTTAGAGTTTGAAGGACTTTGCTATGATGAAGATTTCCTTTTTTTTGGTAATTTGATGTGTAGATATGGGTAAAAAGTTTTAGGCAACAGAATGTATTGATATGGGTCTATAAGGCTTGCTTATAGTTTGTGTTCACTTTATGAGCAAGAAAAGACGTGGTTACTGTGTTCTCTTGGTTACTGTGAACTGAATGCCAATTTCTAAGCCTTCTCTTCGGATTTGGTGGATGTTGAGGTCCTTTCCTGTAAATAATAGAAAGAGGCCTTTTTTTAATCAGTGGGCTTAGCACCAGTGGGCTTATAATGAGAAATATATTCTACTGCCACCTGTTCTTTTCTGGAAGGGCTCCATTTTGCTGAAATAAAAATGATTGGAAGTAACAATGAGGTAGGAAGAATGTCTGTTACATTAGTAGTTTAGGAAAATGACAAAAGAGATGATGACTTAAAACTTCAAACGTTAGATCAGATACATTTGAATTACTAATTGAAAATAGGAGTTTGGTGGTATGTCATAGTGGCAGTGTATATACCTTACTATTGTGTGCAAAGAAAATACAAAATTTTCTAGATAATTTTTCCCCCCTGGGGTTCCCAGGCTATTTATTATGTTTTTATGTTAGGGTGGCATTATTTTAAGAGCTTTTCCTACAGTTTAAAATAAATGGAAATACAAACCTGTAAGTGCTGCAGTAGGACCATTGAAAGAAAACTGTCAAGTTCAAACTTTGTAAGAAGTATGACTTTAAAGATACATTCAGTTTGTTTATCAGATCTTCTCTGGCTTAGTGACATATATGTGGTACTTTCCTATTAATATTAAGTGGAAAATATCGTTACTGCCGGAAAAATGTTTTTCTGGTTTTTTGCTAACATTTAAAAAGCTTTAATATACAAAAAGAATAATTCACTGTGTTGATACTTTGTGTAGCTGGAGAGACAATTGCATGAAGATGAAGAGTTTGCCAGAACATTAGCCATGTTGGATGAAGAACCCAAGTCCAAAAAGGTGGAGTTTTTTTCTAGGCTATCTGAACATGGCAATACAGATTTGTGTTCTCTTTCTGTGTGTTCTAGGCTCTGGAGGTATAAACTAAAGAAGCTAAATTCTTTTCATTTTAAAAAATTTGGGGAGGAAGGGCTTTGAATAATTCTTTTATTTCCAAAAGAAGGTTGACGGAGCCACAGCCATCCAGACCCTTCTGTTCAGTGGGTTCCTTACCTGTCACAGAGGAATTGACATCTTGCCCATAGAATAATATTCATGAAGATTCCTGTGAAACATATTCAATGACTTTAATATTAATCATTGTCTTTTTGTAAAGCACAGTCTTGCTGCTTTTAATAACTAACTTTAAGACCTGTATTAGAGCAGTCTCAAATAATAGAGTGTATTTTTGAGTCCGGAAAACCTTTAAAAGCACAAAATTTTTTTCTTCACTTGACCTACAATAATTAGCCCTATTTCTGTTTAATCACATTCTATTAATATAATTGTCAGTATACTTTGAATATTTAAAAAAATTACATAGTGGACTATGTAAGACAATAGGCATTTGTGGGACTTGAGGGCTTTTGAAGGCATTCAGATTGTAATTACTTTGAAAAAAATACTATGTCACATACTTCTTTTTGTAAAAATGGAGTTTTGAGTGAACAGAAGAGAAAATCGTTATATTTTCCCCTCTTTTGTAAGTGTACTATTTTATTTTGAGCTTTAGAGTGTTACGTTTTTTCTGAGAATTGAGATGAGAGGGGTAGAGACAGGCTTACATTTCACAAGTTAAGAATAATTGGAATAGATTTTTCTTTTTAAAAAATTTATTTATTCATCCAGAGCTGGGGTACTGGCCAGAGGTGCAGGGGCGGAGAAAGGATTCACCAGAGACAGAGTGGGGAGAACAGGCAGATGGACGAGTACACTGCTGAGGGGAGCAGTGGGTGAGACAGGAGAGGGCTGCCGCGCCCTGGGGTCACCTCTGGCCTACTCGCGGTGAAGGAGCCGCTGTAGTGCTGCTCTCCTGCCCATTGTGCCACCAGAGAGGGCCCAGGATTTTTAATATAAATATTTTTATATCCTTTTATATGCTTCCTCACCTGTAGAGTAAAAGTTAATAAATCGTGTCTTACTTCTCCAGAACTTTTATGGATGAATAAAATAAAATATATTGTCCTGCTACTTTGTAAAGTGGCTCTTAATCTTAAAATTAAAACATTAGTTAAAATAAAACTTTGGTGCATTTTGTGGTGATCATTTTCCTACTATTTATCACATTTGCCATTTTTTAAATTTGCTTAGGCTCGAAGGGACCCAGAAGAGAGAGAAACGTTTTCCTCTGTTCAAGCAAATTTAAGTAAAGCAGAAAAACATAAATATCCTCATAAAGGTAATATTAGCAGATAAAAAGTAAGCTAGAACATTTCTAGAAGAAAATTAACAACAACCTTATTTAAATGTTCTATTTAAGAATTTTCTTTACTAGGCAGATAAAACCATCTCAGGCCTATTAAAGTATGTTCTATTGAGATCTTTTGAAAGCTAGTTGGATGTTAGCTTGTACGGAATGCTCATCTGCTCTGATTTCTCATGAGAAATGTATGACAGCTGTTAGCTTTATGTTAATTTATAAGTACAGTACAGCATATGGACTTAACTGACAGAAATCAGGGAACTGGATCTTCTTAGCTTTTCACTTGAGAGTTACCCTCAAAGAGGTCCAGATTATCTGAAATCCGTCTGCTGATTGTTAGTAATTGTTATTTTTTAGTGGTCTTGATGGCTAGTAACTGTTAACGTAGATGGTCTTAATCCCATAAGTAAATCTCTTCTTTTAGTACCTTTAGTGTTGAAATCTCAGGATTTTGGGCTCTCATTTTACATTAAAATTGCTGAGTTGTTGTGTGCCCAATTCAGTAAGTTTTCTTTTTGTAAATTTAGGTCATTGATATTCTCCATGTCCTTAAATGAAGTTTCCCATCTTTTTCAGCTAATGAGAACTTTATATTAAAAAAAATAATCTCTTAAGTTGAACTGGTTATATAAAGAAGTAATATAAAAGCATTTAATTTAAAAAATGTGCTGTACAAACAAAAGAACTAGCATGTTGATGTGTACATTATGACATTGCCTTACACTATTCACCACTAAGATTGCACAGTTGAAATAATCTTCATTTGGGGTATCATTTTCCAAACTAACTATTAGTCTTTTCTTTCTAGTAAAAGCAGAACAATTTTCAGATGAAAGGAAGAACTGTAGTCCTAAGAAGCAAATTAAATATGAAAGTTCAAAAGAATCTCAGCAACATTCCAAGTCATCAGCTCATAAAATAAGAGAACCATCTCCTCCAAAAGCCAGTACCAAATTGGCACTTCTGAAGAAAAAAGAAGAGAGTGCTTATAAAGAGACAGAGCCTTTGGCTTCAAAAAGAAAAGAAAATGCTATTGAATTGAAAGGAGAGACAAAAACACCCAAGAAAATAAAAAATTCTCCAGCTAAAAAAGAGGTAATTTTTTGGAAAGTGCATTACTATTCAGGGGGCTATGTGTTGATCTGGACTTGATTGTTTTCAAGTTCATTTCTAATTTTATAAATCATTATAGTACTCTAAGATACCATTTTATTTAGAAGTTTTTGCAGAATGTAGGTTATGAGTAAGCTTCATTATCCATTACTTATGGAGTCTAGTTAAGGTTATCAGATACTGTTCTAACACATATGGTGTTTCATGTAGTCTTCACAACAAGTGTGTTAGATGTTTATTCTTTTATTATATGTTTAAGGAAGGATATGGCCTGAAAGAGTTTGACTTCTAAGATTATCCACCTATTAAGTAGGAGTGTTAGCATTGAATTCTGGTTCTTAGAGGCCAAAAGAGCAGGGTGATAGAGTGATGATTATGGGTCAGGAGCCGGTTTTACATCAGTGCCAAGCCTTTGAGTGGAGCTGATCTTGGTCTGGTTACTTGCCCCCTTTTTGCGTTGGTTTTTTCCTCACTGGTAAAGGGGGATAATAATAGAACCTATTGAATTGATATACCGAGCCATTTAGAACAAGTACCTTGCTTACGTAGTGGTGTGTTGGTTTGAATTTGTCCTGCTTGTACTTTTTTTTTCACTTTGTATGAGTAGTGAGATACAGGAATCATCTACAAATGAAGAAACAGTAAAGTAATAGAGAACTGTTTTCAAAAATTTTCTTATAAAGTGAATGGTCTCAGGATTTCCAAGTTGGAACTACCTTAGATTCATAATGGGAAACCACTATTCCTACAAGCTTCTTAGACACTTAGAATTAAAAGCAGAATATTGTATTTAACTGTTCATCACCATTATTTTTTACTCCAGAACAGTGAAATGGTAATGATTTCAAGATGGTTTGGTCATTGTGCATAATAAATATGCTTAAGGGAACACTTAACTTTCTGGTATATTTTCCTTCACTAAAACTTATATGTGAATTTTTTTCTTCAGGCATACTAAATGTTCAGTTTATGGAGGCTTGTCTGTTTGTTAATAGGAAAAAGTTTTCAAATGATACTGTTATATATTCACTGTATTTTTTCATAGTATTTTTTTCAAAGTTAAGAGTAGAAATGATTCAGGCAACTTTTCATCAGTTTTGGGAGCATCAGTGTCTTTAAATTCAGTTAATCTCAGTTAAGTAATTTGGATTTCATCAGTGGGTACACTTCAGAGTTATTTTATAAGTTGTTGATGATTCATAATTATTTTTTCCTAGAATTACTGTTGTAATTTTTCCACTTTGCTATATATTGAACTTTCTTGTGAAGCTTATTAAAAACAGTTTTCTAGACCAGATATCTGGACAACTATATTTTATTAAGCTCCTCAGATGATTGAATGGACACCAGCATTGAGAGCTGTTAAAAAGTCTGGTTAGTTTCCAAGAGCATTCCATAATAACTTATTTAACTTATAACATAAACACAATAGCTTACCTAGTCTGTTGATTGGATTGTGTATATAGAAATGGTATTTTGTCTATTTAAAGGAATTTGAGGTGGCTTCCAAGCTAAAATAATATAAAATAAGGGCCATTCTGTAACTGTTCTTACTAGATTTATCTGGAATCCCCCCCACCTCCATCTCTGCATCAGATACTTAAAGATGTGTCTAGACTATATAGTTTGAAATCTTCCCCCAGGATTCTCTGAGATGTGTCCATGGTAAAATCCCCTGAGAGAAATGGAAGGGGATCAATTAAACTAGAAGGGAGAGTGATGGAATATAGCTTGTGTCTGTTTTTTTGAGTAAAGCATGTTTCTTGTTCGAGCCAGCTATTTATGAAGCCATGGGTTCTCGAATATAATATTCACATCAGAACACGGCATAAGACTGTGTTCTAGGGGTGTGTAAAGCTATAACATTTGAGAAATCTAATGTTTTCCATTAAAATACGGATAGGGGCCTCCCTGATGACACGTGGGTTAAATCCCTGCACTATCAAGCTACTGCCAGCCACTATGGCATGAATTCGAACCCCAGCCAGAGAGCTGATCTACATGGTGCAGCAGACCTCTTCTCTCTCACCCTGCTGCTCCCCTTAGCAGTGTATTTCAGTAGATCTGCCGGCTCTGCTCCCCACTGTCTCTGGTGAATCTTTTCATCCCTGGCACCTCTGGCTTACGCCTCAGTTCTTGTATGCATAAGTAATTAAAATCTTTTTTTTAAAAAATGAAGTAAAATACTTGTGAATATATTACGGATATAATGTAAAATTCACACAAATTATTGAAATAACATACACATTTTTGTTTTCTTGGCTTGGGGCTGGGAACTTGGATTATGCATCTAATCTGCCCAAAGATATGTGCCTTTTGAGAGAGAGAATCACAGTGAAGTAGCAGGCTTTTGATGTGATGAGTGGGAGTTGTGCACTTTACACAATTAAATGAAGAAAGGTTTGAGAAGGGCAAATTCAGGGATGCTGTAAACTAGGTATATATAAACTTAAGAATACTTGTGTAGCTAAGTTAATTTCAGGACCAAACACAGAAGTGACCTAATGTTTATTTATCCATGTATCTTTTGTAATTTTACGTGAATTTTTCATGGTTTTGTTGAATTTCCTTTTTTCCAAAGTCTGTGAGTCCTGAGGATTCTGAAAAGAAACGGACTAACTATCAGGCTTATCGAAGCTACTTAAATCGAGAAGGTCCCAAAGCTCTGGGCTCCAAGGAAATACCAAAGGTGAGTACAAAGGGCCTTAGAGCTGTGGGTCCATATATGATGTTTTTACTGTGTTTACAGAGGCAGAGAATTATTTAAAAATTTACTGCATAAAGTCCTTACTCTCCATCTTTCTGTTTGATTTATTAGGGATGTTTGGTCACATTGTGAATCACTGCTTGGTACTTTGGGCTGTTTTGAATTTGTTGAGATTTTAAGTACACAAATTGTTCTCAGCACTATTTCAGTCTTATGATCTTTGATCTAAAGGGAACTTGAGATGTTAGTCAAATTCTTTCTTTTAAGAGATTTATAGTTACTTTTCCAAGAAAGATTCATTTTCTGTGTTGTTCAGCTGCTGCTTTTCATGCCTATTTTAAGGCTGTGTTGATCTCAGTTTTCTATTCACAGGATAATAAATAACTGGAAGTGAGTTTTCACTTTACTTGGTTGTATCATTTTATTGAACCATTGCAAAAATTAAAAAGCCTCTAAGTATACATGGTTTTAATTGAGATTAGATGTGTTCTCCATCTAGCTCTCTTTGATCATTATCCTTTATGTAACTAAATTATCTTTCCAACTGAGATAATTTGATGTTGCTCTAAGTTCCTTGAAGGTTGTTAGGTTTATCATCATTGGGTGAGCAGCAGAGGACAAGAGCGGAAACTCTTGTTTAGCTTTCAGAATTAAAACTTCCCTTTTTGAATAGTGAGAAATTCTGTAGGTGGATTGCTTTTGCTTGTTTACTTAAAACCCTGCAAGTTAACAAGTTTTTTAAATATTTAAAAAATAATGAAAATAGTATGGTAATTTCAGTAAGATTTGCTAACTGTTTTGAACATATATATATATATATGATTGCTCATTTTATAAGTTTACTAAATGTCTGTCTACATCAGAAATTGATTTCAAGTTCTGCTTATTTGCTGTGAATTTCCAGCAAATTTTTCATGCTGAGATTATGATGTCAAATGAGAAGAATCAACTTCCTCCTGTTTTGGTGCCAAATATTTCTTTGGAAAGCTACCATGTAATTTCCTCTCTGCTTGAACATTTTGGTTTTTAGGGAGCTGAAAATTGTTTGGAAGGCCTTATATTTGTAATCACAGGAGTGCTGGAGTCCATTGAACGAGATGAGGCCAAGTCTCTAATTGAGCGTTATGGAGGAAAAGTAACAGGAAATGTCAGCAAGAAAACAAACTACCTTGTCATGGGTCGTGACAGTGGTCAGTCTAAGAGTGATAAGGTAGGTACTGCTGTTCTCTCCACACCGTGAGATAGCTTCTAGCCTTCGCAGGATTTTGATGTGACTAGTGGTAGTTGTGTCCTTTCTACAGTTGAATGAAAGAAGAAAAGGGGAAAGTAATTTCTTCTCCATATAGTGTCATTGGTTTAGACCCCAGGGTTTTGGTTTTCCAGTTTAAGGCACAGTTCTGATTTACTTGACTTTCTTAAAGTATTCTAGTGTGTATTTTTGAAGATACAGTCAGTTTTCTTTTTCTTCCTGTATATGCCACATTAGACTATTTTAAGTTTTTTTATTAAACCTTTTTAGTGATGTTAGGCAGGGTTGTATTTATCTCCAAGTAACAGAATACTTAACCTTGGTTTAAACAACAACAAAAAAAAACTGCTTATTTTCCTAATCTAACAAGAATTCTGGAGGCAGGAAATTATCTTCAGAACTTCAAAAGCTGCAAAGGGAGCTTACAGCTCAGCAGTATAGCGTGCCTACTTCATCCTCCGCCTCTGTCCTTAATCACGTTACATTCAGCTTGTGCACACCACCCTGTGCCGCAGTGTTACCTGCGGGCCAGGCGCAGTGGTCTGTTGGCCCTGTGCTGCACAGTGTTACCTGCGGGTCAGGCGCAGTGGTCTCACTCTGGCAAGACAAAGCAGTGGCAGGGCAGCACCCTGGTTGTGATTGGCCTTATGAGAGTTTTCCCAGAAACACCTCTTAACATTTCATTTTAGGTCCCATTGACTAGAGATGTCACATGGCCATTCAGAGCCAGAAGGAAGATGGGAAAAAAACGAGGACTTCTCTGATTTTTGATAGAAGTCATCATTACCAAGATGGATGCATTGGAGCCCTTTTAGTGCAGCAGAAGGGGGTTGACAGCTTCTGCCATGAGTCAGCCTAGGGGAGGGCGTGGCAGGCTGGATGTCTGCCCTAGTGACTTTGACCCTTTCAGGAAAAAGGGAAGGCACAGCACCCCACTAAAGGGGCCATGTGCCACCTCACCATTCGTGGGAGATGTACCTGCCATTTTCTTTAGTGAATATGCTTGATAGTTCAGCATTATCTCATTTACAGATGTGGCTTTTCACTCCCAGTAGGCCCTAGAACCTTTTTTTTTTTTTAATTCATGAATTAAAGTTTAAGGTGAGATTTTTTTTTTTTCATTTTTTTTTTTATTTATTTATTCATACAGAACTGGGGTACAGGCCAGAGGCTCAGGGACGGTGAGAGGCTTCACCAGAGACAGAGTGGGGAGCAGAACAGGCAGATTGACGAAGTACACTGCTGAGGGGAGCAGCGGGCGGGTCAGGAGAGGTCTGGCTCGCCATGTGGTCTCCTCCGGGGCAGGCGGCAGGCGGGAATCGAACTCATGCGGAAGTGGCTTCAGATTCTCAGTGCTGTGCTTTAACCCGCTGCGCCACCAGGGAGGGCCTAAGGTGAGATTTTAATGAAATTGTGTTTTTAATCAACAGGCAGCAGCCTTGGGAACAAAAATTGTTGATGAAGATGGCCTGTTGAATCTCATTCGAACTCTGCCAGGCAAGAAGTCCAAGTACGAAATAGCAGCTGAAGCTGAGGTCTGTTTGAAATCAACCTGACTCATTTAAGTTGGTATAGAGCAACCTTCCTGTTTCCCTGTTTCATGGAGACATTTGTTGGGTTGATACAGACCTGTTGGCTAAAAGACTGACTTTCCCTTCTACTATAAATGAACTTACCTACCTCTTTTGAGCAGTGAATGTCTGCTTCAGGAGGTCTTTGGTGAATTTCCTTACCTTTCTCAAAGGAAGACCGGCAAGGACAGTACAGTACACTCACATAGCTACTTACTGAATTTCCCGTTTCTATTTGCTTGTAAAGGTTATTGCCTAAGAGTTGTTGAAAGGTTATGTTACAGATATCACTCCTATACCTGCTTCATGTCAACCAGCACACTACTTTCTACCTATAGCTTTGTCTCTTCTGGTCTTCATATACAGGGAATCATGTGATATGGGACCCTGTGTGTCTGGTTTCTTTTCCTCGGCATGTTTTCAAGGACACCTATATTGAAGCATGTATCAGTACTATGGTCCTTTCTATTGGTGATTGATATTCCAGTGCATGGATGGATATATAACATTGTGTTTACCCATTCATTATTTGATGAGTATTTTGGTGATGATGATAAAATTGTGTGTGTGTGTATTTATATTATTGCTCCTGTGAACAGTTGGTGTATAAGTTTTTATAGCAGCATTAACTTAAAAAGAAATTAATCATTGTTCTCCCTTTATGTGTAGTCCCTGTATATAGTTCCCCCACATATAGTTCTCCCACTATTATAGCATCTGTAAACCCTCACCTTAGTCCCTTGTGCCCTTTTTAAATCCCTCTCTCCTTTACTGTTTACTCGAAGTCTGTGGTCAGCTTGACATTTTGTCTTTTTCCTGACCCTTTGATTTTCTTATGCTCCACTGATAAGTGACACCATTCAGTATTTATCTTTCTCCTTCTGACTTGTTTCACTTAGAATAATCTCTTCCAATTCCATCCAAGTTGGCATTAATGGCATAAGTTTATCTTTTTTGATCACCGAGTAGTATTCATTGTGTATTTAGATCACATCTTGATTGATTCGTTTTGGGGCTTTGGGTTTCCATATCTTGGCTATTGTAAATAGTGCTTCAGTAAACAGAGGAGTGCAGGTTTCCTTTGAATTAAAGTTTTTATGTCCTTTAGGTAGATTCCTAAGGGCGGAATTGCTAAGGGTTGGTCCACTTTTAATGTTCTGAGGAACTTCCACACAGTTTTGCTTAGTGGCTGGACCAGTTTGTATTCCTACCAGCAGGGTAAGAGAGTCCTTTTTCTCCAAATCCTTGCCAGCATTTGTTGTTTACAGATTTTTTTGATATGGGTCCCTCTCCACTGGTGTAAAGTGGTATCTCATGGATTTGATTTGCATTTCCCTGGTAATAAATGATAGTGCACCTTTTTTTTTTTTTTTTTAGATTTGTCTATGCATACAGAACTGGAGTACAGAGGTGCAGGGGCAGTGAGAGGATTCACCAGAGACAGAGCAGGTAGCAGAATAGGCAGATCCGAGCACAGTACACTGCAGAGGGGAGCAGTGGGTGAGAAAGGAGAGTTTCGCTGTGCCATGTGAGCCACTTCCTGGGCAGGGGATTGAACTTACACTGAAAGGACTGCAGCTAGCTTCACAGTGCTGCACTTTAACCTGTTGCACCACCAAGGAAGGCCATATTTTTTATATGCCTATTGGCCATTTGCATTTTTTCTTTGGAGAAATAGCTCTTAAGCAATTCTGCCCATTTTTTTGACTGAATTGTTTGTTTTTGTTTATTTGTGTAAGCACTTTATAGATCTTTGATATCAGTTTATTATCGGTTGTGTGGTATGCAGATATTTTCTCCCATTCTGTAGAATGTCTCTCTGTCTTGGTCACTGTCTCTTTTGCTCTACAGAAGCTTTTTAGTGTAAGGCAGTATTAACTTTTAACTAGTCATAAAACTGTGAAGTCTCTTAATCTTTGTTTTCTTCATATTGATGTTCAGATATGTTACTACTTAAAAATAATCTATTCTGTTCTCACTTTCAAAAATTGTATTTGGGTGCGCTTTGGTATGATTGTTAATTTTTAGGAAATTTGGAGGGTGGTGATTCCCACACACTTCAGGGTTCATTGTAAATGGACAAGTCCAGGTTGTGTGTCGGGCTTGCCTCTAAAATACATTTATCAGGGTAGAAATTCTGCATATCTCATCAGGCTTCTTTTTTCCTCACTTTTGCAATTTTCAAGATGAGGAAAGAGAAGTCCAAATTCGAGCGAACACCCCAAAAAAACAACCAAGGAAAAAGAAAAATTAGTCCAACAAAGAAGAAGGAATCAGAATCTAAAAAGAACAAAGTGACTCCCCAAAGGGGCAGCTCTATAAAGTCAGTAAACAAGGAATCAAGTGTGTTTCGGAAAGGCCTGGACTTCAAGGAACAGGTGGCTGAAGAGACAGATGGTGGCTTCAGGGCTAGGAATTTGGCTGATGGCAGCAGTGAAAACAAAGTGGAAAATTTGCTCTGGGTGGATAAATATAAGCCAACTTCACTCAAGTCCATAATTGGACAGCAAGGTGATCAGAGCTGTGCCAAAAAGCTCCTACGCTGGCTCCAGACCTGGCACAAGAGCCCATCCGAAGAGAAGAAACACGGTGATTTTACAGCTTCACTCATTTGTTTGTGTGTGTGTGTGTGTGTGTGTGAGTGTGTGTGTGTGTGTGTGAGATCACATAATTGTGCACATATGTGCACATAGGTGAAGAGGTCTAATAGTTGGCTCATTCACCTCTCAAGCATTTATTGAGACCTTGCTCTTGAGTTCTGGTGTGACACTAGACCCTTGAGGTGCTGTTGTGAGCATAACACAAGCCCTCTAGCACCTACACTCAGCGAGGGAGATTTATGAGCCATCAGTTAAAATGCATGGTGCTAAGTACTGTAAATTGGGGTAAGTATAGGATGCTAAGGGGATGCGGGTGTGAGGTCAGGAGTGAGGATGTGTGTGCTCGTCCTTGCACGGAGAAAGCTCTAAGCTCACATTGAAAATCAAGAAAGGGTTTTCACCTTAGGTATAGATGGCCTGGGGTGGGACAAAGTACATGTACCAAGATAGGAAGAAAATTGAGAGCAAGATTGCTGAATGTATTGGGGGACTTGCAGGAAGAAAGCAAATAAAAAGCTGAGGTGTGCTTAAGGAAGAGCAGCCTAAAAAATTCCAGTGCCATATTGGCTTTTGGTAGGCCTGATGCATCTGAGCTGCACTTGTTTGTATTGATTGTATATTTTTGTCATGGAAAATGAAAAGTATTATTAGAATTGAGAGTGGATCACAAATGTTAGTAGTGTTTCCTTGAGCTTTAATCACAGGGATATTGTTGAAAAACAATAAGGCAAAATTTCCTGCACTTCACAGTGAATTCCAAGAATGATGAGTGAATTGTTAATGTCTGGAGACAAATGCCAGTAAATTTATATCAGATACTAGAGTTATACTGATATAGGAGCTAAGCTACATAAAATCTACCTTAAGTGAGAGTGTATGTACTTTGTGTGCTGGAGAAGACTTTCTAAGGGTTCAGGCGAATGAACCCTCTGCCCAGGCCTGCGTGCAGCAGGCGTGACCGCTCTCACTGTGTGTGTGGTGCACATGTGTGTGCAGGCACCCAGCTGATGAGGGGAGGAAGAATTTCAGGTGTTGAACAGTGCAGAAATAGTTCAGACACCACACCTTCAGTTCATTCTTTCTGTGATCGTGCTTGTTAACTGAGGCAGATAGTTCTGCTCAGCATGTCCGTCTTCATGACACGCTGACCAGGCACTTAGCTGTTATTACCCTTGCTTTACAAAGAAGGAGACAGGCACAGAGACCTTAAGTCACTTCTGGAGTTTTTCAAGTGGGTAAGAACCCAAGGACCAGAACCCAAGTAGTCCACTCTGTGACCTCTGCTTTTCTGGGAAAGGAGACTCCTACATTTTTTTTTTCAAATCAAAGTTTTAAGCACTTTTTTTTTCTTTTTCATTTTGGGTAGCATTAAGGTATGGAAAAAAAAATTTACTAAATACTCTAGAAACAATTGTTTCTATTTTGTAGAACATATTTTACAGATTTAGAACTGCATTGAGTGCTAAGTTTACACACAATTATTGTTCATTTTCTGTTAGGTAATATAGGCTAACACTCTGGAACTTCTTTTTTCCTAGCAGCAAAGTTTGGTAAATTTGCTGGCAAAGATGATGGCTCTAGTTTTAAAGCAGCGTTGCTCTCAGGCCCTCCAGGTGTTGGCAAAACAACCACTGCTTCTCTGGTTTGTCAGGTAGGTGTTTTGTTGGAAAGGTAACCTAGGAGTGCTATTTGTAGGAGGGGTGTGTGTGTGTGTGTGTGTGTGTGTGTGTGTGTGTGTGTGTGTGTGTG